CGGGCCCGGCGGGAGGGCGGCGGCCGGGGAGCCCCCAGCCTCCCGCTCCGGAGGGAGACCCGCGCGGTGGCACTGCCACTGCTGGCAATTTCAGGGCGAGTGCAATCCCAGCCTGACTCTTAGCTGAGGTGCCAGCACCCACGGCAAACGGGTCCTGGAAAAACAGACCTCTCGGGGAGAGAGGCTGGACTGGCGAGAGGTGTTGTTGCCTTGTCTTTCTCTTTTTCTTTTTCTTTTTTTTTCTTTTTATTTTCCTTTTTTCATTTTTTTCCCGTGAGTTTTTTTTTGTCGTTCTCGGAAAGGCCCCAGTTAGGAGTTCAGACAGGAGAGGTGGCTCTCATTGCTCTGGATTTTAGTCGGAGAAGTGTTGTTCTGGTGTTCTCCTTCGTGCCATAATAACACTCTTCCAACACTGTAAATAAAGAGTTATGCACACCGCGGAAGGTAGTAAGAATAAAAGGGATTCGCTTCTCGCAAGCAGCTCTTCCCTGAGACAGAAGAAATAAATACACTGGGGGCACTGAGCTGAGTTTTCTATTTAGGAAAGAAAGAACATGAGGAAAAAGAAACACGTACCCAACAAAACTCAAGCCTGTGCCAGGGCATTGCTTGGGGGGAATGACACCGATTCCCTTCAGTGCCTTTTAGAAAAAATACTAAATGATCCTAAAAGGAGAGATAGTCACATCTATCAGACAGAGTGCGGGGCCTTGATCAGGCACCAAAGGGGAAAAGAGACAAATGCATGCTTACTACTTAGCACGCAGATAAAATATTTTTTTTCTGACTACACCAACTATGGGAAAATATTTCGCGAAGTGCTCCCTCCCTCCGCCCCCTCCCCAGCTCACTTATCTGGACAGCTGGTATTTTACTTGGGTGTGCTTCCTAAGCCAGGAAACTTCACCACATTTTTGTTAGCAGGCCCCCTGAAAAATAAAATTACGTATTAAGTAGTTTGCAGTTTGCCTAGCCGTGCTTCTCATTTTAGGTCATAGCTGGAGGGTAGGGATGGGATCTTCCAGGTTTCGCGTTATTTTAAGCTGTGGCGAAAAGTGTAAGGTTCCCAGCTGAGCTGCTGCCTGCGTGACCGTGTTTGGTGCCTTGTGCGTTTGGAGGAGAGGTCACTTTTGTCCTCATCTGTGGGGACTGCACGGGGGACGCGGCTCGGGCATTGCGATTTCAAAAGGAAAAAAAAACAAACCGAAACCCACAGCACCAAAACCCGCATTTTTATTTCAAAATGTTGTTCTCCCCTGCTCTGCCCGAAGCAATGCTGCGAGCCTGCAGAGCGTGGCTGCGTCCGTGTGTCCGTGTCTGTGTGTCCGTGCATTTAAAAAAAGATACTTGTTGATTAGAGCTCTTCTTTCCCCCTCTCCCCCACCCCCTCCCCTCTCTTTGTGTGCCACTGCCCGGTAGGCACCCGTTGTTCCCCCTCTTAGCTCTGGTCTTTGAGAAGTGCGAGCTGGCGACCTGCACGCCCCGGGAGCCCGGCGTGGCCGGCGGGGACGTCTGCTCCTCCGACTCCTTCAACGAGGACATCGCCGTCTTCGCCAAACAGGTCCGGCACCTCTCCCC